TTCACGATGGACAAGAACTGGGTGAAGTTGGCTATGTCATAATGTCTCTCAATACTATGAAAACCAAACAAGAACAACAATGATGCAACGAATGCAGACCCATGGGTATCGTCGCGCTAAAACACCAACCAAACCAAGCCAAGAAACCAAACTAGCTCCCCCCAAAAAACATCAACGCTCGAAGACGACAATGATAAGAGCCAAAATAAACGCCGACGCTGAAGATGCAATTGGCCATGCTCTTGATGTATCACCAAAACGGCTTAATTCCCGAAACCGTGGCGTGTGTAATGATGAAGGCGAAATCGTGTTATCTCCTCCTTCCTTTCCTCATGATGTTTTAGATATGTGCCGCCACAAATGACAAATCTTCGTAGTCCTCGTCGTCAAGGTCAAGTGTAGACATGTGCATAAAGTCCTCTTCAGCCTGCTCCAATGCCACCTTATGGCTGTGGGCAAGCTGCTCCCAACCCAGGCTGATTCCCGTGAGTTCCACAGCCGACATCTTAGGTCTGCCGGAGCCTTGCGTGTTCTGGATGTGGTATGTCAAGTCCTCCTGTTCGAGAACACGGCTTGATGTTTCTGAAGAGCTTTCAACAGATTCTGAGTCGTCGTCGGTGAGGCAAGCTCGCTCGTAGAAGGCCTGCTCAAAGATAGCGTTCGTCTTGGCCGTTGACTCTTTGCGCATGGCAGAGGATCGATCCATTTCCATCTTGGCGAACAGCTCCATCAGGTTACACCCGAACGCAACACTGTTTTCGCGCTTTCGTAGCCAATGATTCTCATTAACAAGAGCATCAAACATTGTCTTAGTCCTGCCTGGGACATTCAGCGGGTCCTCTTCTTCCCGAGGTTGTTCAACTGGAGCAGTCGTGTTTTCCATAGTGAGTTCAACATCGTGGCGTGAAGGCTCGTCTGCATTCGCCAGGCGCTCCCTGAGGGACTCAATCTCCAACATCTGCGTTCGGTCCAAGGCCTGGAGCTCCATAATCTTATCATGACGCCTCTCAAGCTCTTCCTGCAAAGCCTCAAGGCCTTCGGTCTTGCTGGTAGCATCCTTTATCTTGGCTAACAAATGTTCGATCTCGAGTTCCTTTGTAGCAATGACTTGTTCGCGCTCGTGGATCTTCAGAACCGTAGCGCGATGCTCTGCAGTAAGACTCTGTAGTTGACGGATTGCTTCGTCGTCTTTTTTCCGCGATGCCTCCACTTCTTTGGCCTTCTGGGCCCAGGGCGTAGGCCCGTGTTCGATTTCTTTGGTGTTGGCCAGTAGGCCAGCACGGTCCGACCAATCATGGAGATGAGCAGTAAGGCCGTTCAGTCCGGCAGTATAAAAGGCAATGCACTGGTCATTATCGAGATCGTCAATCTTGTATTTGATCTCGGCGATCTCACGAGCAGAAGCCGAGTCGTTGTCCGAAAGACTGGTGCATTTCGCAACCTCTTCGATCAGACCGCGAACAAATCTGGCGATACCTCCAGCAGCAGACGCCAACGCTTCATCGTATTTTACGGCGTCGTCGAGACCATAGGGAAATTGAGGATACATGTGGTCCTGGGCGAGAGCCTGCACGGTACGTAACAATTTCGCGGCAGCGGTAAGCGCAGCTTGCGTGTTGTCCAGAGGGGTATTGAAGTGCTCCAACGTGTACTCGCATTCGTGGAGTATAGTATCGGGAACTTTCTGGAGGACGAACGTGGCGAGGTCGTACATGTACGCTATGTGTTCAAGTCGAGCATGTATGGAGACGAACAAGGAGAGCATCTCTCCTTCTGGTCGACCGGCTAGAACATCCTGATGGCTGGAAAGGATTGCCTCGAGGGTTTTGGTAGAACGCTCCAAAGATCCAGTAAATTCCTCAAAGTTAATAGTATCCGCCTTCAATGCGTTTAGGCCTTGGTCAAGGACCTGCTCTACGGTGATCAATTCCTGGTAGGTTGGTCCAATGTTTGCAAAGTCTGAGAGTGATAAGCCGCGAACTGCAGACCAGAGACGGTTGCTTCCGTCTTTAAGGACTTCTAGATAAACGATGGACTGGACACAAACAAGCCTAGATACAGCATCATCCAAGCGGCCACCGTTGCTCATGTGTCGATTAGTGCTTCTCAGCACACTGATAAGTAGGTCAGATTTCCCAGCGATCCTTTCTGTGGTCAAATAGGCTTGGAGAGATTCGCTCCGAGTAAATTCCTTGGACTCAGTCTCGTTCCAGATTTCAAGGCGCTCAGCGAGCTGGTCTGCCTTCAGCGATATGAGTGATGCTTCAATCTCCCTGGTGGTAGATAAAACAGTCGCTGCACGGAGTTGTCGGTTGAGATCCATGACCTCGTTGAATCGCCCGGTAGTGTCCTTCACCTGGGCTTCCGTCATGCTCTTTGAAGACTCAGCGTCGGCCATTCTGGCCTGAAGATCCATGACAAGATCGCGGAATTTTGAGATGAGAGATTCATGATCGGTTATGATGGCAGTTTGTTCTGCGATTTGCCGTGCTTGCTCAGCGAGCTCATTGTTCTTAGCCTCGAGCTCTGCAAGCATGTCCTCTTCTTGCTCTAGGTGCTGAGCTTCAAGCTCATCGTTAAGTTCTCGTAAGTTTTCGAGATCTTGCACCACCATGTCTTGCTCCGCGATTCTATCTTGGAGATTTTGATTTTGTTGTGTGAGTTCCTCCACCATGTCCTCCCATTCGTTTGCAGCGTCCAGCTGTTGTTTAAGGTGGTCGACAAGGTTCTCAGATGCGTTTAAGCGTTCATGAAGTGTGCCATTCTCTCGTTCGTAGAATTCAAGCTGTGAGATATCGCCCTCAAGGCCGAGAATTCTGGCCTTGAAATCCTGTTCGCGTTCCTCTGTCATCTCCTTAAGTGTTATCAATGCCTCCCTCAGGCGGTCGTTCTCGTGCTGAAGACGGTAGTAGCCAGCTTCTTGTTTTTGCTCCTCTGACATTTCTGTAGTAAAGAGCTCTGCCTCGTCTCGAAGAATATCGAGCTCTAGAGTCTGCTCTTCTAGTCTCTTGCGCAGAGACTCGATTTCCGCCTCCGCCTGGTCCGCCCTCTCCTCCGCCATTTCTTTGTCGACTAGAGCATCCTCTAAGTCGACCTCATGGTCCTGTAGTGACTTGTTGAGGGCTTCTAGTTCCGATTGTAAGGTCTTGAGCTTCTCCTTGTGTTCTTGAATCTCAGTATATTGTGACTGGCATTTGGTCTGCAGGCGCTGTATTAGGCCGCTGAACCTGTCCTTCTCGTCGCGAACTTGCGCGAATTCTCTCAGCCGTTCTTGGTCTTCCGCATGCTGCTTCTCCATATGTCTGATCGTTGTTTGTAAGCTCTCAACATGGCCATCCCGAGGTGCTTTCCCAGCGTTACTAGTGACTGAGGATCCCAGACTCGGTCTGGATGTTGAAGGTGCAGGGCGAGATGATTCAGGACGAGATGATTCGGGGCGAGTGGGTTCTGCGCGGGAAGACTCGGGTCTGGAGAATTGTGCGCGGGAGGATTCAGCGGCTGAATTGCTAGATGTGCTAGCAACGCTGGCTTTTCGAACAGGTCCACGCGAAGGTGGCTGTGATGCTGAGGGAGCTGCGACTGACTGTCGCTTGCTCAGTGTGGTTGTTCTTGCAGTAGTGGGCTTTGGAGCAACCACACTGGAAGGCCGAGCCCTGGGAGTGGTGGTTGGGGCTCTTGCTCTTGAAACTGCTCGGGGTGTGGGTGTAGGTGGGGTTGGTGTTGCCTCGGAAATTATAGTGGCTATGCTGGTGTCGCGAATGAAGAGACCGTGGCCAGGAGCGCACGTAAAGTACCGCTCTCCGCGAACTGAGCCATCGTTTTTGCCGTCAGGCGTAGGAAGCTCGATTCCGATAAAAGTGCCTTCTGACACGTGAATAGCCCCTACGTATCTGACGACGCCCTCCTGATGACCTGTAGTCTTGACCGTCTGGCCGACCTTGATATTCAAGGCAGACATGACTCCTGAGTGCTAGCCAGGAGCGATGCTGAGAGAGCCGGGTGGAGAAGGTGAGAACTGCGTGGTGGTATGGAGCAGTCTCGACGCGTCGAGAAGCAGCTGGGAGTGGGGAGTGCAGTCGCGGACAACTGACTCAGAAAAAGTTTGGAGAGTGCTAAGCAGAAGAAACAGATACGCGACAATGCAGAAGTAACGGCTCAAAAGTGGTGCTGTTGTGGAAAGTGGCATTGAGCAGTTGCAGAAAGTGTGGTGTAGAGGAGAGGAGAGGAGGAGCGATGTGGCAGTATTTAGCTGAGCTCTGGGTGATTGCCAAGAAGGACGGTGATGGCTCGCGCTATTGGTGGCGATGGCTCGGACGAACGCCAGTTCGTGGATGCGGCGGACACACCCGGCGCTAGCGCGTTGTAGCGCGCTTCCCACCCAAAATCTACGCGTTTTCTGACGTACAATCAGCCCACTCTACAACTGCCAGTTCCAATGCACTCTGGGTGACATCTGTCTGCAATGTGTCCTCGTCTTAGTGCAGGCGATAGTCGTCATGCATTCCGCCACTTGCCACATATGCCGCTCGCCCCATTTCAGAGCTTGAGCTGCTCTTCGCATAACTGCAGGAGATATCATACGGACTGTAGGGGCGATAACACCAATAGCCAGATGCAGTTATTAGTTCTCAGTGCGCGTTTGTAGGTTCTCTGTAGGAGATTTTTTTTGGGGCTCAGTGTACCCTTACATAGACATCACACTCCCTGTTTACTTGTCCGAACCTACCGTTGTCTCGTCGGAAACAGGATCCTCTCGACTGCGTATGTCGTTACAACGACAAACTGGATACTAGTAAAATCATAGGCTCTTGGCTTTACTCAAATGATTATATTCTTGTGTTGCTGCAGATCGCGCGATCCAAATAAAAAGCGATGGCATCTCGTTGTGGTTCTCTATTCCATGCACGTTCGTTCAATGCATGGTACACATACACACAACGCCCTTCAGATTCGACACAGCCGCACTTAGGAGATTTGCTCCATCACGCTTCCACTATCACTCATCGCGAAGCTTCCAATTCCTTGATCCTTTGCTCGATGTCAGGAACAGCTCTGAGCTGCAGGTCGATATCTTCTTTCTCACTGCCAGTATGTTAGCACAAGTTTTCGCCTCAGACGTAGTACTACTACTGGACTAAGGTAGAATGCACTTACTCTTCGAGTATTGCCCTCCTCTCCGCGTCGAGCCCTCCAAAATAGAAGCCGCCTTGACCATCAAACTGCAGTATCCTGGTGTGATACTTCCAGAGACTTCTACGGTGGCTGACTGTCATAAGGGTTATACCCAATCTCTTCGCTTCTTCGTACATGACTCTTTCTACTTCCAGGGTGACGGAGCTTGTGCATTCGTCCAAAATTGCGTACCGAGGCTTGTGGTAAAAGAGTCGCGCCATAGCGACGCGTTGTTGAAGACCGCCAGAAAGCACGTCTTCCCATTGCGCCTCTGCATCAAAGCCACCGGGGCGGTCGATAAGGGATTCGAGGTTCAAGGTCTCGAGTATGGAAAGAATGTCGTTGTCGGTAATGGATTTGGAGTGCATGTCATGTAGCGAGTCTGGATATATGATCTGTTGACGTAGCGTACCACGCGAGAGGTATGGTCGTTGTGGGATATAGAAGATGTCTTCGAATGGTGGCTTCCGTACCTTACCACCATATACAGGCCATAGACCTCCAAGGATTCGAAACAGACTACTCTTTCCACATCCGTTTGGTCCTACGATCAGTAGGTGATCGCCGGGTTTTACACTGAAGGAAAGTGCCCGAACGAGCACATCACCATTCGGAGATACTATAGGTACATCGATGAACTCGATATCGGCGCCTTCAGTTACGATACCACGACCGCGCAAAACGGATGCGTTTTCTTCGATGTCAGCTGAAGAAACAAGCTTCTTCTCGAAATGGCCGGCTTGGATATCATCGATTACATCGAGGAGGGTTGATACGCGTGAGGTATAACCAGCGAGTTCGGTGATTTCCTTGTACGAGAACATGACGCGACCAAAGGCGTCACTAGACATGAGGAGCATTCGGCGATTGGTTACGAAGCCTTTGGGAGTCACAATTGTCAGTAGGAATATCTCGCAACCTGGACAAGGGGCGGTATGGTTTGAGGGTACTCACTCTCCGTCCGATCCCCCATAGTCATGCCGCCTGTGCCTGGCACTTTGAAGAACACTGGCACACTGCAAAGCAACAGACCCAGAGCGCCCCAGAAGTATTTGATCACAAAGTCTTCCATGACTCCGTGATAGAATCTCCTCCTCAGTATCCGGTTGACATGCTTGATTAGCGTAAAGTATCCCTTATCCAAAGTATCCTTCTCCGCCTCATGCCCCGCATACAGCGCCACCTCCTCGCTCCAGTCGATTAGCCTGGAATGCTGAAACCTGAATTCGCCTTCCAATCTCGCTTCGTCTGCTACGTATTTGCCGAACGGTGGGGTAAGCGCCCTCATTACGTTGGCCGAGATCTGAACTAGCAAGCTCATGAAGAACAGTCCTTCGCCACCGACGCTCCGCGATAACGAGTAGTTGTAGATTATGATGTCTAGAACGGGTTTGGCGAGATTGGAATAGAGTTCCGCAAGCGAATTGGAGAACTTGGAGACGTCAACAGTGATGAGTTGGTCGGCGTTTGCGATGCGGTCGTCGAGGGCAGAAAGCGTGTAGAAGGTCATCTGAGAGAGGTATTTGGAATGAATGTAATTCGTCAGGCGCGTTCGGTATTGGAGGGAGAGTTTGCACTGGTGGTAGGAGAGCTAGGCTTGTTATTATGTCTTCGGCTCCCGTTGCATGTTGTGCTTTGGCTGCAAGGTGAGAAGGTTGACATACCATACTGTTCGTAAACGTCGCTGGGACAGCCACAGCCATCCACCATACCAAACCTAGGAGAAACTCTCTTCCCTTGCCCCTCACGAGCGCACTAACCAATCTTCCATCCAACTCCGCGACGTACAGACTGATCATCGTCCTAAGCACCAAGAAGACGCTATGCCCGATCAAGAGCCTAAACTCCTTGCTCTTCCAACCAGGTATGCATATCTTCAGTAGTCTGAGCAGGTTCTTGAAGAACTCCCTGTTCAGCTCTACCTTCTTCCTGCCTGTTGCTTCGCCCTCGCCTGCTGTTGTCTTGTCCGCTGATTTGGAAGCACGCCGTAAAGAAGCGGCTTTCTGTTCGGCGATGGCATTTCGTATACGATTTATGAGGGCGACGAAGAGGGTAAGGTACACGGCGCGCGATATGCGTGTTCGGTGTTGGAGATACAGACGTGTAAGGTCGTTGACAATGGCTTTGGCAGACGCGCTGGTCAGGCGATGGGAAGAGAGAGGTTTTGAAAAGACAGCCATGGCTACCGTAGACGAGGCATTGGTGTTGTGCAAGAGGTTGACGCCGTGCGCAAAGCGTCGTGGCGTGGTCGTTCTTGACGGAAGATCTCAGTAGGTAGTGCTGCGAAACTTTGTACTACGATAATCTGACGGATGGTCTCCCCGGTTGCGCAACAAACCAGTAGGGTGCAGAAAGCCGCGCGCGTCCGGTTGTAAGGTTTGGTGAGATCAGTGTATCGCGGAAGGTAACGCTGTACAAGCGTCACCTGCGACATGTGAACGAATGCCTCGGCTTCCCCACAAATCGCCTAACCGTATCGAGACATAACCTGGGGAAAGCTTTCACATGAACGAAAGGAGCGTACATTGGTTTCATACGCTGGGTTAAAGTTGCACCTGATCACATGTGTTCAAGTGTTCATTTGATGTTCTTGCAACGCCTATCATTGTTGTAGAATCGTTACAAGAGCGGATTGTACCAATCGTCTCTGCTGTCCCCCATAGCTGATGTATAGAGTCATGACCCGCAACCATTCCCAGAACCACATTAGCCCCAGATCACGACTGGGTATCCTTGAAATCTCCAGTATGTGTCTTCGCTGCCTTTTCTGCTCCATATCCTGGCGCCACCTTGCCCGGTAGACCCTTAACAAACCCACCAATATCTAAGCCCTGCATCTTTTGCTGCGTAACCTGCATCCAACTCTGTTCTTGCTTCTTCTGCACAGCCTGCTCCATCTCCTCTTTTTCCTTCTCTTCATCGCCTTCTCCCTTGCTCCCTTCGTTCTTCTTCCTCTCTTCCTCTTCCTGCTTCTTCTCCTTCGCTAAATCAGCTTCGGCACGCTCTACTTCCTCGATGTCGACGTCTTCGAACCCGATCTTCCGAAGGATAGACCCGGTGATGAAGCGGTATTGGAGATGACCGTCCACGAGGTCGCTGACATCAACATTTTGGATTCCGTGTACGCCAACGACGGGCTGCAGACCTGCGACACCAAGCTGCATGGATGAGGTGCGATAGAGGAAGCCGAGGATGTAGTCTGATTTGGAGAAAACATTGACACAGCGACCACTTACTACAGAGCGGATGCGCCGCCAGTCGGCAACGTCAGATGGGCAGGGGGCGCCGACAAGAACCACGTTCTCGATGAGACCAAAAGCTTTCCGCTCTGCCAGTTTCTGGAGGCAGGAATAGATGACGCGTGCACCGAGAGAATAACCCACAAGGGTGACCGGCCGTTCGCCTTGTACCTTGTTGATTAGTGCTTCAGCAAGAACTTCGCCAGCCTTCTCAGAACGGTATTTCGCTACTGAGAAAGGATTGTCGAGCATAGTGGCAATCTTGAGCAGGCCTAGTGGCCACAATGCAGCCGTCATCGCAGCGAAAACAGTCTGCTCAATAATCTTCTTCTTCGCGTAGCCCCAAGCAGCACTGGTCACGAATGTTTCGAGGCTATGTCCAAGCTTGAGAAGCGCCTCAAGCTCCCAGCGAAGTGCGAAGCCTTCTGTTCCCTTGCTGATGTATCTCCATGGCTTTGATACTTCCTCGGGGGCGCGCAACCAACCAGAGACTGCAATTGCGACGCGCAGGCGGCGAGATTCATTGTCTTGATGCCTCGGGTCTTGGGTGCGGTGAATAGGTATGAAGGCAAAATCTTCCACTTGTCGGGCGTAGTCGTCCATGGCGCGCCCCGTCATTTTCGCACCGTAAGCGCCAAACAGCCCTCCTACGAGGACAGAAGAACCCGCCAGAGTACCTAGATACCCTGCGGCTGCTGTAGCACCCAGACCAATGCCTCCCATCACACTTCCAACACCTGCCGCAAGAAGTGGTGCAGCCAGCCCGCCAGTTACACCGATCAAGGCAGCACCAGCAACACCGGCGAGGCCGACTTTCCATTTTCGAGCGGCTTGTGATTTTTCAGCAGCTTGCTTGGTTTCTTCGTCAGCATTTAGTTGTTGAGATGCCGCTTCTAGAAGACCTTGGGCGACCGTCTCCTCATCTTTCTTCAGAACGGCTCTACTCAACCCGAGAGAACTGGTAAGGTAGAGAATCAGGACACGAGAATGTGCTGAGTAGTGCTCCAAACTTAGGAGTATGAGTACTAGCGAATGCAATATAAGGGCGCGTTTGCTCTCCTCCAAGTGAGTGAGGGCGTTGGATACAGGGGGGTAGAGATCCTTGAACATCTTGTCTTCGTCCTCGTCCTTCTCGTCAAGCTTCTTGATGCTCTTGAGACCAGTTTCCGATTTCTTTGCGATTTGCTCTGCCTCCTTGCCTTCGACCTGACGTGTCTGTTCTTTGGCTTTTTCTTTCGAATTGACTACTTCGCCGATTCTGCTGATGACGTTGCCTCGCCACCCATCGAAGTACTTGAGCATTTCCTTTTTCAGTTCTTGCACTTCAGGTTGCGCGAGCTCTTTTCTTGCATCTTCTTCGCGTGCTTCCCTCTCTTTCTTGATCTTGTCTTCTTTGGCAACATCGACATCGTCGAGATTGGAGGGTGCGTCTAGCAATACCTCTTCCTCTGATCTGGCAGTGTTTGGATCGATTGCGAATTCTTCAGCGGTGAAGGTGTCGACCAAGGACTGCCGCATCGATGCCGTGATGGTGGCTATCAAGAACGTCAAATCCGCGCATTGGTCTGCATCGAGGAGTGTAGTGAGCGACGTCTCATCCTTGTCCTCCGACTTGGAATGGCCCAAGGAAGTCAACTTGGAGGCCCAACCCGACATGATGGTTGACAGTTGGCTGAAGAAGGGTTCGAGGTTTGTGTAGTGATTGCGCAGCGGAGATCTGCATAACAGGGTGAGATGTTGCTGCTTGGATATGACGTATAGTGGGGCAGGGGCTACGAATAGTCCAATGTCATCCAAATGTCGAAGATCACCCGCACTTCCGAGGAGTAGTGTGAACGTGGGTCCCTAGGTATTTAGACTATTCAACATATTGTCAAGTATCTTTTTAGGACGCCACAGGCTTCATCTTATGGAAAAGGTCCCGGCATCTGTGCGCAGCAATGTTTTGATCTTAGTACATACTCGCGCAAAGCTCGACCGATTTTATTTCTTTAACCAGACTATCACTTCACGAACCTACTCTACTGGTAGGTATTGGCGGTGCACCCCTTCCCCCCACTGGAAAATTCCTGGCGCTCAGAAAGACACCCTTGACAGCCCTAATGTCGTTCTTTAGCACCTCCATTTGATCGTTGTGTCCACTACCGCCTTGACCAGACCAAGTGAAGGTAGATCCATAGCGGCCCATGCTGGGATAGTATTGGTTCTGGTAGTCCATTTCAGTCAGATATGTGGTCAAATCTGACACCTTTGTCCTCAGCGCATCTCGCGATTTGCCGTCATTGGTGCGGTTCGTTTCCAGCTCTTGCAGATGTGATTTTATAATCTTGAGGCGATTCTCTTGCGCTGTCACGGTAGGGTGGGGATCTGCAGCGGAAGTAGAGGGTCGACGGGAGAGGTTGGGTGTGGTTTGGGTGCCATAGTCGCGATGGTAAAGCTCAGTAGGATCGGAGTCGGCTTCTGAGACATCGTCTGCAGCGTCTGCGATTGCCTTGACTTTGCTAGCAGGATCAACAGACACTGCCTTGGCTAGTCTCGAGTTCAACTCCTTCAGCTGTTCTTGAGTGTGTGATGCAAAATCTTGTCTTGATTCAGCAAGGTTGTGTGTCATGGGCGCTATGATGTACTTGGACAGTCCATATATGCTTGCCATGATGCCTCCTGTGACGTATGCGGTTGTCGCAAGGCGCTGGGTGGTGATGAGAGGCGGTGGCTTTTCGGTATTCGCGAGGAATTCTGGGTAGGTAACGATCGGGGGTATCTCGCGTGGTGGAGGCGGCGGCGGCGAAAGATCGAGTGGCTGGGATGTCACTTCTGATACCTCTGCGGGCTTTGATGGCGTCTACGAATGTCAATATCGTTGCTCTGTGGCCAGAGGGGTTGTGTACTCACTGCTGACCACGCCCGCTGCCCGACTTCCTCGAGATCTGTGTGAGTGTCCTCCTGTGGCTCTGTGCCTAGCAAAGTCTCAATGTCCTCTGTGCTCACACCCTTCGACTGCAAGAATGCGACCTTCCTCTCTCGCGGCGCATCGCGGATCGTGGCATCTTCAAGGAAGCGCGATGCTTGCTCTAACAACTCTGAGCTTTGAGACGGCTGCTCTCCCCCATCTTCTCCTTCAACGTCGTCTTCGGTCGGTGTTGGCGCTTCGACGGCGTCTTGTGCGCGTGCTTCTTCGGGCTCTGGGGACGCTGCGGCGTTATCGGCAGATGCGCGTTGCCAGTCGGGGATTGCCGGCTTATTGGACATTATGCGTGGAATCAACAGTCGTTTTCGAGGTGAAGTCGAGTAGACAGCGGATGCAAATGACGCGAAATGGACGTAGGCGCGCTTCCGACCGTGGTGATGGATTGCTCGGTCGGGAAACAATGGCTGGACCGAGGCAAGAGCCCCAGATCCGGCCTTTCCTCTTTAGTCAAGCATTCGAGCATCAATCAGCCGTGACAAGCCTCATCGCTGTGAACTGGTTCGATTCTTTTGAACGCCCTGGTTGTCTCTTAAGATGCTACTTTACATTCTGAGTTTAAAATTGTGTCTCAGTGCTTCCCTCGCCCATGCTCTTGCTGCCTGAGCTGCCACTCTGTATCGCCCCCAAGATGCCATCAATGTAGCCTGCGCCGGACCACTTCTGGTGCGTGAGCACATCACAACCCAACTCCTTCTCTCTCGCTTGCACCAACTTGACATAAGCAAGCATGCCCTCGTCCTTGAACGCCCGACTTAGCTCGCATGTAATTGTAGCCGTAGAGTGTAGACCAGCAAGCGAAATGAGCTGGAATACGAATCCATGTTTCGCCAGATCCCAGACAAAAGACTTGAGCGCTTCTTCGGAGAAACCTTGGCCCATCCAGTTGAAGCTGGGAGATAGATTGTACACAAATTTCTTTCCCGGGTGAACAGCGCGGATTTCACCTGCGAACCTTGCTGCTTCCTTGACATTCGGATCACCCGTTTCGACCCAGAGGAGATCAGCGTATGGAGCGTATTCCTTGCCGCGTTTTGTTGCTGCAGCTACGCCAGCTTTGTAGTGGTAGAAACCTTCCCGTGTACGGGGGATGTCCCAATCGAAGTAGACGGGTGTTTTGGTGTACTTCTCCGCAACGTTTCGGCGCTTTAGAAGAGAGTAGTTGGGATTCTGCTTGACCTCATCGAGGTATGAGTCGATGGTTGATTGAGGTGCACTCTCTTTCTCAAGGTGCTGGACCACGGCCTCGTCAAAGGTTACGAGCTTGTGCTTCTTGACCCACGCCGCTTCGTATTGGTCGATCTCCTTGCCGGGTGCGCCAGCTGCTTCCATATTCTGCAGCGTCTCGGCCAGCGGTTCACCATCTTCTGTGACACCCTTGATGAACTCATGATCCCGCACATCGACAGCGCTGGAGATGAGCTTGCCGCTCTCTGAATCAGTGCGCGCAATAACAAGGTTCTCGCAGCCCATCATATCCCACTGGAACCGTGCGGCTACCAGGCGGTTGATGTGGTCACCAACTGGCACGAGGACTTTACCTGCAAGATGTCCGCACTTCTTGCCGCCGTGAAGTTGATCTTCAAAGTGAACACCTGCGGCTCCATTCTCGGCGAAGAGCTTTGCTAACTTGATGACGGCAGAAAGGCCCCCGTGGCTACGACAAGTCAGTTCTCTAGCCAGACATCAAGAGTAATCTTTACGTACCCAGTATCGCCATCAGCAATGATTGGCCGCATGTAGTCTAGGTAAGGCGTCTTTGCTCGTTCTTCTGCACTCATCTTCCTCCTAGCATCCCAGTTCTTGCGGTCGTGTAGCTGCTGAGCCTTGAACAGGCGCTGCACTTGGTTTGGTACGGTGTTGTAAGGGTAGTCGCCAAAGTCGGCCGAGACTTCATTCGTCGTGGTCAGGACTGAAGAGCAAGCCCATCCAGAGACATAGAGGACTTCTTGGTTGGCAGCTTGTTGGGACATTTGGATGGGGTCAATTGCGCCCACTGGGTATTGAAAACATGTGATCAGCCATTATACTATCTATACAGACTAGGATAAACGCACTGGTGTGTACTGGCTCGCCCTTGGCCGCCCTCTCCTCCAGAAGGTTGAACAGTTTCCGCGCCATCAGTGAACTGGGATATGACTGTTGAAGCGCCCCCCGCTTGCTCACAACATCTTCGGCAGAGTATGGGCGCTTGATACCTTTGTACCGTGGTGACGCCCACCAGTCCTTTACGGCTTGTACCTGTTCCTCGAAGAGCGCATCTTCTGCCTGACCCGCTTTCGAAGCTTCAGGCAGCAGCTGGAAGGAATCGCCAGGGAGTGCTGTCGATACTGGAGGGTCAACACTCTTGAGTGTCGAGTTTGACATGCGATATGCGGTGGTAGAGAGGGGGCGTAGGAGTTGCGGTGTTCGGCTCGTGACTCTGGACGATCGGCTCTGGCGCGCGACTGAGCGCGATACTGTTCGGAACATTGTAGGCGTATGTGAATTGGAGAGACTGCGGTCAGCAGAGGCTCGCTCTGTATCTTAGTAGGATGGCGGCAAGAGTTAGTCAACAGTTGTTTACGGAAAAATATCCGCAAGTCGGAGAGAACTCGGAGATGATGTTTGCCACAGGCGCCTTTCTGTGTCTACGTCCAATTGTCTCTTTTGCATGCAATTAGCAAAGTCCGTGGCCGTGTTGCGTGAAAAAGTGAGTTCCGCGTCATGTTTGCGGCAACGCTTCTCCAGGGTTCCCCATCACCGACGTCACTACCGAGGTATGTAGCCCTTGTCTAGCCGCGTCCAACTGCCCCTCGGTCCTCGTTCAATGTTGTACTCGCATTAACGGACCATGCGTGCCTGGTGGACTGAGGTGCATTGCCGAAAGTTGCCGTCAACATTTCTTTGCTTGTTACTCGCGAAGTTTGCAACGCCATTGTCTTGAACTACTTGTTGTGTTCTACGTCCTATGTGTTGACGAGTGCAACTACTATCCCCGCATCTACCCCACGTAAACCGAGCTATGGCATTGAGCGCACGATCAGCTTCCAGAGCTCTACGGGCTGTCAAGGTAAGCTCAGAAAACAATGTGTGGTTGTGTATAATACACAAACAACTAACAATTGCTTAACAGGGGCGTCCTTTTGCCTCCGGTATGCAATCAAATCACCCAGTCCAAACGTCATGTTCCTAACGCGTGGTTCGTTACAGTACAAGCCTGTAGCTACTCTTCCTCCTCGGAGCCGGATCTCAAGGAGACGTTCAAGAAGGTTCTGCCTGCAAAGCGCGAACTTCTGAAGAAGGTCAAGGCGCATGCCGACAAGAAGCTTGGAGATGTCAAGGTCGAGAATGCCCTGGGTGGCATGAGGTATGATATTCAAACAATCACGCAAGCATGCTCTGACGAGATTGAAGAGGTCTCAAGGCCATGGTCTGGGAAGGATCAGTGCTCGATGCGAACGAGGGCATCCGATTCCACGGCAAAACCATCAAGGACTGTCAAAAGGTGCTACCCAAGGGCACTTCCGGCACTGAGATGCTTCCCGAGGCAATGTTCTGGCTATTACTCACAGGCGAAGTACCCTCGGTCTCGCAAACTCGCGCGTTGTCCCGAGAGCTCGCTGAGAAGGGTAGCATTCCCAAGTTCGTTGAAAAGATGCTCGACGACTTCCCCAAAGATCTCCACCCGATGACACAGTTCGCCTGCGCCGTATCCGCACTCAACTACGAGTCCAAGTTCGCAAAAGCCTACGAGAAGGGTATTAACAAGGCCGACTACTGGGAGCCTACCTTCGATGACTGCATCAGCCTCCTCGCGAAACTGCCTACCATTGCTGCAAAGATCTACCAAAACGCATACCGTGGTGGAGGCGCCCTCCCGAACGAGATCGATCTGAACCAAGATTGGTCATACAACTTTGCTGCCATGCTTGGCAAGCCAGGCAAGGAGAACGAGGGTTTCCAAGACCTTCTCAGGTTGTACCTTGCTCTGCACGGTGACCACGAGGGTGGTAATGTCTCCGCGCACACAACACACTTGGTCGGGTCTGCGCTCAGTGATCCTTTCTTGAGCTACAGTGCTGGTCTCCAGGGTCTTGCAGGACCTTTGCATGGCCTGGCTGCGCAAGAGGTGTTGCGATTTATCCTCGACATGCAAAAGGTCGTCGGCGAGAAGTTCACCGAGAAGGACGTCAATGAATACCTCTGGAGCGTACTCAAGTCTGGACGTGTTATTCCTGGTTACGGCCACGCTGTGCTTAGGAAGCCTGACCCGCGATTCGAAGCTCTCATGGACTTTGCAAATGCCCGACCCGAGATTGCAGCAAACCCTGTATACCAGCTGGTCAAGAAGAACTCTGAGGTTGCACCGGATGTACTCAAGGAGCACGGAAAGGTAAGATATGACATGCCCAGCATCCCGAGCCACTGCTGACACACTGTAGACCAAGAACCCCTTCCCCAACGTCGACTCGTCATCTGGTGTCCTCTTCCACCACTACGGCTTCCAGGAGACCCTTTACTACACTGCGACATTCGGTGTCAGCCGTGGTCTGGGCCCGCTCGCACAGCTGATTTGGGACAGGGCGTTGGGTCTGCCTATCGAGCGTCCAAAGTCCATCAATCTTCAGGGTATACTAGACCAGGTTGGCGCGTAAGCGTAGGTGTCGTACATAGACGACGGGGAAGTTCACGAAGACAACGAACAGTTTCGCATCAAATGAACCAACATATCATGAGATATAGCCAGAAATTCAGACATGCTTTGCAAACAAATTGAGAGTGGTTTGGTGAGGATCCACTGTTGCGCAAGATTAGAAGATCCGTCTGAACGCAAGCGCGGCGGGAGCTAGATCGACGCCTAGCCAGGTACGAGACGCCATCGCGGCTGAAGTAAGCCCGATGAAACCTCCATCTCCAACTACGACTCCGACTGTGTTTGCTGTGCCTCTTGTCCTACAGACACGTTGCTGTCCTCCTTGAACGTTGTATAACAATTACCCGTGATTCTCGACTCGCTGCCTGTCGGAGAACAGCCGCGCTTCAATGCTAGTCTTAGGATAAGTAGAGCTTCACGCTCGCGCCGCCACAGATAGCCGCGCCGGTCGAGCCGTATACTGCATCATCCACACCCGCCTCCTTCCCTGCTTTTGAAGCAGACTCGCGACCACCATGCCGCCTTATGAAGCCCACGAGATGCGTCGTGGCAAGTACGCGAGAATCGATGACCCCGTCGACGATGTCGAAACCCCGACGCGCTTCTCCTCCGAATCCACCGGCACCCTAGAAGACCTCGAAGAGCACGACCCACTTGCGTTCGATAGCAAGATCAGGCGCAAGAAGAGCGCCGGAGATCTCAAGGTCCGGAAAGCGTCGTATAGAGACAACGAGTCTGCGGCGCCGTTCCCTACACAGCAAAGAAAGTCGCGATGTGCACCAGGCCGCTGCTGCTGCTGCTGGCTTCTGGTATTTATCGCCGCTACCGTCCTGATACTTGCGTCGGGAGGCATATGGGCATACAAGGTCTCGGTGCCCGAAGATGGATTGAGTCCGCCGTGGTATCCTTCGCCAAAGGGCGGCACCGATAAGGCATGGGAGGATAGCTACAAGAGGGCTGCGGAACTGGTAAAGCAGATGACGCTGCCTGAAAAGGTCAACATCACAACGGGAACAGGCTGGAGCATGGACCTCTGTGTCGGGCAGACTGGGCGCGTAGACCGGTTGAAATTTCCCAGTCTGTGTCTTCAGGTACGTACGATTGACATGTGGCTAGGACTATACTAACATGCTCAGGACGGCCCATTAGGTATTCGATTCGCCGACAACATCACCGCGTTCCCTGCCGGTATCACTACCGGCGCAACATGGTCCAAGGAACTCATGTACCTACGTGGAAAGGCACACGGCAAAGAGGCACGACTTAAGGGCGTCAACGTTCTGCTAGGTCCCGCTATGGGCCCTCTCGGAAGGATGCCAGCTGGTGGCCGCAACTGGGAAGGATTCGGATCGGATCCAGTCCTACAAGGTATCGCAGCCGCGCAGACCATCAAGGGCATACAAGATGAGGGGGTCATGGCTACCGCGAAGCATTATGTCGGCAACGAACAAGAGCATTTCAGGCAGGCATGGGAGTGGGGCCTTCCAAACGCCATCTCGAGCAACATCGATGACCGCACATTGCACGAGATCTACGCATGGCCTTTTGCCGATTCCGTCAAAGCTGGAGTGACCAGTGTCATGTGTTCGTATAACCAGGTCAATTCCAGCTATGCTTGTCAAAACTCCAAGCTGCTCAACGGAGTCTTGAAGGATGAGCTCGGCTTCCAGGGCTTCATCCAAAGTGACTGGTTGGCACAACGTTCTGGTGTGGCTAGTGCTCTTGCGGGCTTGGACATGACAATGCCAGGAGATGGCTTGCGATGGGCCAAGGGCAATAGTCTATGGGGTCCTGAGCTCACGCGGGCAGTTCTCAACGGCAGCGTGCCGATCGATCGCGTCAACGACATGGTTACTCGTATCGTGGCATCATGGTACCAAGTTGGACAGGACAAGTGGGACAACGATGGGCCAAATTTCTCTTCGTGGACCAACGACGAGGTTGGCAAGCTTCACGAGGGCAGCCCATCGAACCATGAGATGGGTGTGGTAAATCAGTACGTCAACGCGCAAGGAGAAGGGAAAGAGGCGCACAGCCACCTAGTACGTCGCATCGCGGCCGAAGGCACTGTCTTGGTGAAGAACGAGGGCAAGACGCTACCCCTGGACCGCAAGGGTTGGAAGACTGGTGGCAAGGCTAAGACAAAGTTCCGTGTCGGTGTCTTCGGTGAAGATGCACGTCTCCCTCATGAAGGAATCAATCACTGCTCTGATCAAAGTTGCGACGAAGGAACACTAGCATCCGGGTGGGGATCTGGCGCTGTGAACTTCTCCTATCTAGTCGAGCCCATGTCAGCTATTCGGGATGCTTTCGACAACGAGACTGTATACGTCACTGACTGGCTGGAGAACAAGCTTCCTAGCCAGAAGGAGATCCTCGTAGACCAGGATCTCTGTATCGTCTTCGCCAACTCCGACGCTGGTGAGGGCTACGAGCATTACGGAAGCATACGTGGTGACAGGAACGATCTCAATCTGCAAAAGGGTGGCGACAAGCTGATCCAAGACGTTGCTAAAGACTGTGGAGAAGGCATGGGCGACGTTGTGGTTGTCATTCATACTGTTGGACCTGTCATTCTCGAGAACTTCATCGACATCATGAATGTCAGGGCCGTCATTATCGCCAATCTGCCTGGAACCGAGTCCGGCAATGCCATTGTAGACATTCTCTTTGGCGACGTCAACCCGTCTGGCCGTTTACCCTATACTATTGCCAAGAAGGAAGACGAATATGGTCCAGGCAGCAAGATTAAGTATCTTCCCAGTCCATCCGATGGTCTGGCGCCTCAACAGAACTTCTCAGAGGGTCTCTACATCGACTACCGTCACTTTGACAAACAGAACATCACTCCACGATTCGAGTTCGGCTATGGTCTTTCGTACACAGATTTCAAACTGTCTTCCCTCTTGATCGAAGAGAAGGGCGCTAAAACACCCTTTCCCAAACCCCGACCTGATGGCCTGGTACCACCCAGTTACTCCACGGAATTACCAGATCCCAAGTCCGCGCTATTTCCTGAAGGCTTCAACCAGGTAGAGCGATACATCTACCCATGGCTCGACTCTACAAAGGACATCAAGAAATCCGAGCCCATGAACCCCGCCCCACCATCTCCCCTCAGCGAGGCAGGCGGTGGCCCAGGCGGCAACCCCGATCTCTATACTACACTATTGACCGTATCAGCATCACTAGAAAATGCGGGACCAGTGGATGGCTCGTCAGTAGTCCAACTCTACATTGCGTTCCCACAAGACTACAAGGATCATGAGACGGGCGAGCCTATTGACTTCCCCGTCCGTGTGCTGCGAGGGTTTGAGAAGATACATCTAGAGAAGAACACAGGAAAGCTTGTGCAGTTTGAGGTGACAAGAAGAGATCTGAGTTATTGGGATATAAAGAGGCAGAACTGGGTGTTGCCTAATGGCGAGTTCGGTATTGGTGTAGGATTCTCAAGCAGAGACTTGCCGTTGGAGGGCAAGTGGTAAGGCGGCGTTACTTGGATAGAATTGTGACTGGTTTGGTGCTGGAGTTCCATTTGTGTTATTTGTCGATATCCCATACATACATCATATTGCTAAATATGATCTTACTACCATTCACACTGCGATGCTTCTCGATTGTGCAACTTTGCTTTTCTTCGTGATACTCACAACTCACTCTTTCCTCTGCCATCCTGTTCTTCAATCGGTCTCCGGCCTCTAGCAAACAAGATTGTGCGCCACAGTTTCTTGCCAGCGAATTCCATGTAGTTCCTCTCCTTCATCGTTTTGACATCAATATCCACGAATCCAGCCTCAGTAAAAAATTGTTTCACGCCTTGAATAGTGAAGTGCGGGACTACGACAGAAGCTTCCATCTTTCTGCGAAATTCAGGATCGCTGTCGCCGACGTCGTGCTTTTGTTCGGCATTATGATGGTGTTGATGCCCGTGATGGTGGTGATCGTGCGAATTGGAAGCCTTTTTGTCGCTGGGACCGTGATGATGCCCATGTCCTCCATGATCATGACCATGCTTGTGATTGTGTAGAGCATGATTGCCATCGCTCCCTTCGATCGGTTCCCCGTCCTCGCCAGCCAATAAATCTCCTCCCTCTAAGAAATCATTGATGACCAACACACCACCCGGCCTCAGCCTGTCCTTCAACTGACTAGCGGCAAACACAACATCCTCGAAATGGTGGAACCCAAATCCAACAGTCGCAAGATCAAAGTTCCAGAACTCCTGTCCCGACAGTGATTGTGGCTGAGGGTCAGACTTGACAAACAAATCACCAACCACGGCGCTGACAACGTCTTCTGGAAGACCGGCATCGCGAGCACGAGTGTTGTATGTAGATACCATTTTGGGTGAGATATCGATACCCTGGGTCTTGGTAACGTAGGGTCCGAAGACACGTGTCATCAGCCCAGTGCCGCATGCATAGTCCAGAAGACGAACTTGTGTGGCATCTGTACTGGATCCCGTGTTGGTAAAGGGGATGCCGACCCAAGATAGATCGGAGCAAAGACTATCTGCGACTCGGTCGTTGACGACATTGAACCAAGGCTTGCTGTCGTAGGAGTCCGATATGGCACTGTGGAATGTTCAGTATACATGTGCGTGGTAATTCATAGAATGATGTATCGTACTCGAAATACCGACGGTTTGCCTCTGCGTAGCTCATCTTGAATGGTACGCTGTTCTCTGTAAGAGTGAGAAGTCTGTTTTATGGTTGTGATGTCGCTGATGCAGCGTTGTTAAATCTATAAAGTATTCTGGAATTGAAGAAAAACAAGTAATTGAGGTTTGGGGGATGATCAGATTTTCCTTTTATGGAGTGAAGAAGGTTGCGAGGATAGATTCAATGTCGCCGGTCTGCATCGGAGACATACGCACGCTAAGCCTATATTGGCCGAGCATCACAACGTGTATCAAGAAACACGCAATATACGAAATGATTTATTTGATATGGCAATAAAGGAGCGAAGAAGTCCCCGTTCAGATTTGCCAAAGCACATGTGGCTTCAGTTGGTCTCCTCCGAACATCGCCCAATTTGCACCTAGGATGTGGACACAGCTACCGGAGACATTGTGATATGGCTCCACAGGGTGCAAAGAAGCCTCCGTAGACCGCGACCTTCAAGTCACCGTCATGGCCGATAGTGGATGAGTCATTTCGACTGATGTTTGAGGCTATCGTGAAAAAGTAGCGATTCTCACTAGCCTTCCTGGCGTGCTTGGTTACCACCTCTTATCGAAATGATCTTGTGTCGTCGCGCCTATGTAGTTCGTGTCGTACGGTATCAAGAGAACATCTCTATCATGTTGCCCACATCTGCTTCCTCCGATACATCAACATTGCCCCCAGAGTTCTGATTCTGCAAAGCTTGTTGCCGCGCAAGGCCTTCTTCTCTCTTGCGCCGCTTCCTGACATCTGCATCTTCCCAATCAGCCTTGGTCCCGTTCAAAAGCTTCGGTTCGTAGGTCTGCAAAAGGGCCTGGCGAAACCGACTTATACGATCAAAGTTGATCTTGAAGCGCTCGTTGGCAATCTTGATCAACGTTCGCAAATACTGTTGGTCTACCAGGGCAACGTTACTTCCATCATCATCTTGATAGCCAATGATGGAGTCGAATGAATATCCAGCTGACCGGACTGCTACCATAGGATTTGAATCTCCCGTGTTTGGTGACCCTAGACTCACGGCCCCGCTCTCACGAAATCCTGCAGTCAAGGCAGCAGTGAGGACTTTTTGGGCATGGTCCATTGATGCGCTCAGGATGTGGAGTATCTGTACCTCGTCAGAGTCTGCCGAAGATTTGCAAGAACCAAAATTACCATGGGTTCAAACTTGAGATGAATGTATCTGCAAGAAACACTAGGTGTTCTCTCCTCAGTCTCATATTTCTGCAAGCCAAACTCCGACATGAGATCATGATTTGCTTCGACACGTTCAACTGGCGTATGCGAAATGAACAGCCATGCACCCCCACCACCTTTGCCTCCTGGACCAGCACGTGATTCTTCCCCTTGAGCCGAGTCTGATACTTCGGCATCTGCTTTACGCCCTTCTAAAAACACACTAATGCGCCCCGAGCAACTGCTTGTTGTAACGAGACCTTGGAGCTTATTGATCTCGCCGATTAGATCTCGGATAGGCGCATCAATGGAGCCCTTTGGGGACAGATCGTGGTACTCGCCATCTGGAGCATCGAGCTGTTCCAGGATCTTTTGCTTGCGTACTTCGAAGCGAGTCGGCATGTCTGTCGTGCTCTGTGGCTGTGTGGGAAACCCGTGACAACGCGCCGTATTTTCGCGTTCGAGTGCGTCATCCATGGTCTGTGCTCACATTCCCTTCCAAGCATCCACGTAGACGTCTGCAGTTATAACCAGTCATACCGCTTGCCGGCTCCGCAAACCAACTAAATCGACATCATGCCACGTAAAGCTACCAAAAGTACTGGTGCGCCGGCTTCCAGGAGTTCCTCCAAACGTCCCGCACCGGAGGTTCCAGCAAGGCAGTCTAAAAGAGCACGGGCTGCGATTCGGAAATCGTACGTCGAGCCTGAAAGCGACACGGATAATGAGGATAGACTAAAGAAAGTTCAACTATCCAATGGTGACTATGACGATGATGAAGGGGTGGCCTCCGACTACGAGGAGCACAGCGACAAGGATCCATCGTCGGAATCTGAGCCCGATGAAACTGCCACTGACGATGACATCGAGAGCAAGCGGCCAACTCCGAGAGGGCGCACCACCAAGAACCTCCCTATACACAAAAAGGCCGCCGATGAGAAAGAGCTTTGGAGACCGGGAGCAAAACTGGCACCAGGAACGCAGCTGGTCATCAAGAAGCCAAAGGCCCGAGATGCAGGCGACACGCCATATTTGGATCACACAATCCATCCAAATACAATGTTGTTCCTCAAGGACTTAGCAGCTAATAACGACCGTCAATGGTTGAAGCGTATGCAACCCTTCATAACGCTTGCTTCACTAGACCGCCCGCTAATGGTTACAGTCCATGACCCTGATTTTAGAGTTTCATTTCAAGATTTCACAACATTCGCCGAGAAGGTATCAGATAAGATTATTGAAGCAGACGAGACCATTCCCGAACTACCGGTCAAAGACGTGGTGGGTATTGACGATTTAGCTATCGTGAGAGACATCACTAACGCGTACAGATCTACCGTATCTACAGAGGTGAGCTTGAAGCTTGATTGTATCGAACCACGCTCACTACTCAAGACATCCGGTTCTCAAAAGACCCCACCCCGTACAAGGTGAGAAAGCGTCTCAAGTTTTATTGGAAAAGGCAGAGCAATGCGTTCAAACTCATATCTCGACGTGCAGAGACAGATCTTGCTGGCCATCTAGCTGACTCTAACCCAATATCATCTGCCCCTCGAAGATGATTTTGTCCTTATGCTCGGTCATGGCAAGGTGCAAGTAGGCTGACCTAATCTAGACTTACTTCTCTGCGGCTTGGTCGAGGACTGTGAGTTATCTTTGTGCAGCAGTTAATCCGAGCCACAGACTGACATTGGACACAAACGTAAGGGACGAAAAGGTCCTTACGCGCACTACTACGTTCAGGTGCAGCCCAAAGGCGGGAGCTTTGTAGGTATGTTTGATTCTCTTCTTCTCTTGTATGTGTGCGATTGCTATAGCCACGAGCTGTCGTGAAACCTCAACCGAGGCGAAGCGCAATCCCGTGGCCGCCGTGGTTCTTCTTTCGATCGAATGTGCATAATGTATGCATGTATACCCAACGGTTGCCGTCGCCCATGAGATCAAGGACGGGCCGAGGCCTGGCGGCTTTTGTCCTCGTGTGGCCGAGCCTCGCACTCCATGCTGTATTTTGCCGTAGCACGACCGCCATTTCACATATGACAAGGTACTGTCATTAGTGTAATTGGCAACCCTGGCCAGTACTGAAGAGCATGATCATGCCTGGGACATGAGTGCTCAACATACCCCGCTGTTGGTCTTATGTTCGTATCCGCGGTCGGACAGCGTAGCGTAGCATCTTGAGTCCCGATACCATACTGTGCGATATTCGTTGGAAGATGCGTCGGATCGCTTCGAGGTTCGGTCGTGTTCGGTACTGTGTCGTCGGGACGGTGCTCCTGTCTAATGCATGCCAATGCCTTGTCATCTTGCCTACGCAAGTAGCAACACATTCAACGGCGCGATAGTATTTCTAGCGCTGTCTTACCGCCATTGTTATCATACTCGCACAGGCATACGCTGACTTTGGAAGGTGGTGGCTTCTGGCAGCCGGACGCGACGACCCTCGCCAAACTTCGACGCGACATCGACCGTAAACCGCACAAGTTCAAGGCGGTTCTGACTGACGCCGGCATTCGGGAGGCATTCCTCGGTGGCGTGAAAGATGACGAGAAGAAGGCTGTCAAAGCTTTTACGAGTCTGTCGATGAATCAGTCAAATGCTCTGAAGCGCAATCCAAAGGCAAGTCCTCTCTGCTTTACCTTTCCTTGTATGAGACTGTCTTATCAGACGTCGGTCACCAAGCAGGAAGACGCGTCTCAATTGCCAATTTCCTGCAAGGGCAGAGCAATTTCTGGATGATTTTGCGACAGCTATGGCGGGATTGGGTGTCCTCCGCAGCCTGGCACAGATCAACTCCAAAACTAGCCCGGGAACTTCCCGCCTACAAGGATGCACTCCTGTGAAACTCTTCCGCTACATTATCTTGCGAACGGCACACGACAACGATGACGTGCAACTAAGCTTCGGTCTCGTACTGGACAGTTTTGCGTTACAACTGTGTGCCGTCCGGCAAAATAGAGTTTCAAATCGCCCCGCACTCAACAATTCAAGCTGAGTTCGAGATGTCATAGCTAGCACCCTTTCAACGGGCGGGGTTTTCTGCTGGTAGCAGCGTCACTGCCAAGTTGCGGAGTTTATTACGAACAACCTTCAGTCTCACTGTGCCTGCTCAAGTTTGCTGACAGCTCTCAGGGATATGACCATGATCACAAAGATATTGAACTTCTGCGGCTCCGCAATTTTACCATGGGGCGAAAGCTTACAGACGACGAAATTGTCGGTGTTGGAGGTTTGGAGCGTGTGGGTGAGCTCGTAGCCAATATGGTGCCCTTTGTAAGTCTAACGATTCGTATTCTTGACATTGATGGCATAAAACGTTCATTGAACAGCCGAAGTTAAAAGCGGCGGCAACTTGTTAGGGTTGTGCCTGTACATTGCAAGCTATGGGGTGACTATAATGCTGGCCAGTAGTGTGTTGGCATTGCGGTCACCCGCCCATTATGGAATTGTCCAGGTGTGGAGAGAGGCCTGAGCAATCTTGCTGAGGCGTTGCACACGAAGCCGCTAACGACTGTGGCAGATCACCTATCTTAACAGCATCGCGATGCCCGACGATGACACGTCAGACTCGAGCGACGGCGATGGAAGCGATGCCGAGCCTGACAATGACAGCGGCGCTGCAGAGGATGACGAGGCTTGATGAAGGCAATTTCAACAACGCATGTTCGAGGCGCGGTTCTTCCAGCCGAAGTCATTTGGATGCACACATTGGTGGAGCGTGGAGGAGTGGGCCACACAAGCGCGAAGCCCGCCAATAGACGCCTGTGTAACCCTGCGGCAGTGGCGCTGACTGGTTGGTCCCAACTCATCTTGCATTAGTTTTACGCCCGTTCAAACTGCTTGCGGGACACTGCGGCGCTAGAAGGTCACGTTACTTAGTGGGCTGAGTAGGACCGAGATATGCGAGACTAAAGTTTAGCAGATCGCAATAGGAAAAGCCTTTCTACGACCCTGGTCCCAGTTCTCTCGCTCAAACGCGGGCCTGCCGTCTTTCCTTAGCGGCTTCTGCTTGGTTCCAGCGAGCCAGGGGAGGCAGCGCACGGGGCTCACTTTTCACTCGTCTTCGATGATGACCCGGTGTGCATGGCTGACCGCATCGACGCCAAAGTCTCATCGATGACAGTGCAGAAGCGAGACGTATAGCAATCGCTTTGTATAATCACCCGATCACCTGCCCTCTCCATAGTGTGCTATTGGGCACTGTGACAAGCTGCACACGTTGCGTTAGGCTTTAGACGGCCACGGCCCGAGGCGCACTCGTTGTCCTGGGATGCAAGGTTTCCGCCCTAACGCGTCTGATCATGGCCAGCTCCATTTCGTGACGACGGCTTCAGTGAGTCTTTACCGGCGCCTTAAGTCGCTGGCGGTTAGTTGCTGCATCGCTCTGCGTCATGCACGCACAAGAAGCGGAAGGTCGAGCGGCTTATACTGTTCGGTCACACTCGACATGGTGTAAGCATGACGCCAGCAGCTCCAACACGAAACCTTGACAACTGCAATACCAAGTGCGTCGAGTACATCGCAGGTCTGCATGCTCCATGTCAACCAAGCTGCGAGGCATTTTGATGCTTTAGCACGTCATCAAAAGGCGGTGTGTTTGTAGGGCACCTCGTTGTGTCCTTCAATCCCACCGTCCATCACACCGATGAGCCGCTGATATTTCGTTCTTCCGCGAATTAGCACGCTTCGGGCTGATCCATCGACCCGCAATGGCTTGCGTCCGCTTATCCACCCCTTCCGCGTCTCTGATGATATTTACCGGCGTTTGTGACACAGCTGGATCTCGCAAAGTCAGAACGTGTCGCCTTACCCTTTTTAGCACTCCCGTCGGATTCGTGAGGCGAATATACACGGCGGTTTGCCCGAAGATGAGGCAAGCGGACGCTGCGGTACCAGACGGAGATGGAATACCGCTTATCCGACAGGATGTTGTCCCTCATACGGCTACTGCAAGAACGGAGCTTCTGTGCTGAATCATCAGCATAATGCGGTGCTGCGGCGCATTCAGAGTACTAACAGGATGCGAAAGACTGCGTGTACACCGATGCATAGCCATCACCAGACTGACTACGCCTCTATCGCACCAGCACACCTTGACAGATCGGTGAGTGTTGTTTGTTTTGTAGTGGCCACGGTCGCGCTGTGGAAGCATTGTTTGCATTCTTTCTGCCTGTCAGACACTAGAACAGTGGCACAGGCTACAATTCGTCTCGGAGGCTTGACGATATCTTCCCGCCTGATGCATCTGCATCTGGATTTACGTGCAGATGGCGGTACACGAAACGCGGCACAAGCGACATGGCCGCTTGCACTGCGTACGGTGACACAAAAGGGTAGCCTCCGCAATTTCCAGCTATGCTATGCATATTGCGGGAAGGCTTCGGTGACACAAACTTCGTTAATCTAAATATCAACGGGATACACGCGGGAATTCCACTCTCGTCCCGGGCCGCTGACACACATGGTACCAATTGAGCATCTCCAAGTTGCCCTCGCGCTGTTCCCCGACGTCCATGAAGAAGACGATAGCTGAGCATCGCCTAAGCTCCGTGCCGCAGCAGTCATGGACGTTACGCGGCTATTTTGCTTGGGTGAACCGACCGAGGCGGCTGAAGATCACATCCAGAACAGATCCCGGTTGATCTACCCCACAATCCGTTCATTTGGTGTAACCGTCATCAGCGGCATTCAACGGCACTTTGCGATGTGTGCAAGACAAGGCTGCTGACATTTATTTATTGTCATTGTAGCAGCTTGCTCAGTGGGCCGATTCTTCCAGGCCGACTCGACTCCAGACGAATGACTGCATCGGTCCTCATCTATCATGGGCTGGTGACTGACTCAAAAGCCGGAATGCGGTGTGGCAGACAATCAAATTACAACAAAGATTAAATGCGATTGGCTGCAAGCTGTCAGCCCGCTTGATACAGTTCCAATAAGTGAAAAGGGTACCGTGTCCGGAATGACGGCTTTGACCGGTGCAGACACGTCTTGTGACCAAGGCAAGGTTTTTTGCTCTCGCATGCCACGATTAGGATTTACCCGTCGAGCAGCAGATGCAAGGCACATGCCAGCTGCGAAGCTGAGATTTGCCCAAGAGAGTTGAATACTAGGCAGGGGACGTGCTGATTGGTTGATTAAATTTGACCGAGACCTGGACGGTGGAAAACTAAGCACGAGATTGTGCGGGCCGTCCGCCCCAATCTCGAGGCAGAGGACGGAGTGTTTTGGCATGTGTGGATAGTCACGAACTACTGCTGACGATTCTTTGTTGAAAGTGTCGGCGTCGTCACCTATGTGCGGCCAGCTGGAAAGAGGCCGGCGCGATGCCGAGGCTGAATACGCACTGGGCGTTTCGCTATTCTCCATGGTACCGTGCCTACATCCGCACAAGTCCGAGACTCGTCACCAGGCGGGACATGCGGCACCGCCACTACTCAAGACGACTCGACAAGTGCCGTTGGCTTGTCTGTATCGTCAGTCTCGACAATTATGGAGGCGTCGAATCAAGGGCGCAGGGAAGCGTTTTGCCATGGGCACCAGTTCGCAAGCCTTGGACCGGCGCAAGGGATGAACGGTTTGCCAAATTGTGGATGCCAGATTGAGAGGCGTGATTCGAGGACGAAAGTGGGCTGCGTCGCATGCCAGCCGTCTTACACGAAGCAATAGCAGCTGAGGATGAGGAAGTCGGTACATGATTTTTTTTTCTCGCAGGCAAGACTGGCCAGAATCGGCTCTATTACCAACCAGCTTGTGTGGACTGAGAAGGCAAACTACTGCTGCTGGTTTGGACGAACGGTTCTCCCGGCGCAAGACATCGGCTCTCCCGTACACTGCCCCGCGAAGGAGTGCCTGAAGTCGCCGAGACGCACCGGCATGTGCTTGACTAGCAAGCAGAGAGCACTCACGTCACAGTTGTCCAAGCACTTAGCAGACGTGGTTGCCGAAGTGGTACACACCAACAGTCAGACAGGGATGGTGCCCGTCCTTGTCGAGCAAAATGACCGACGCCCCGAGTTGATCAGCCCTATCAGACATGTTGGCAGATGAAAAAAGACGGCAAGCCGCGTCCGGGAGGTTGAGGAGAGGCACATTTGCGAACCCTGCTTGTGCGTGGATCAGGCTGCGGGAGGCGGCAAGCAGCGATTGATTTGGGACGAGGAAGCTCGAAAGCCGTCACGATGCATGTGTGTACAAAAAAGCATAGCAGGGTCGGGACAGCAGGCTTCGCAGCAGGTCGCCGGCGCCAGCACGCACGGTACGACCAAGCTGACCGGACGCAGGCGCGTACCGTGGTTCGTGAGCTGTCGAATGGGCGAGCTATGGGCTTGGCAGAGGAAGCGACACGAGGGACGCAGAGACGGCCCGTAGACGATTCAAGAGCCCGAGGTGGTTCCATGAGTCGAGGCGACTGTGCCACTTGAGACGCATGCGAGCTGCAGACGGCGGGTAGGCTCTCGCACAAGCGCGGTGCAGCCAGCGCAGAGTCTGGCATCTCGTGCGGGCGGGCGGCAGAGTGACATTTAGGATGATGTGGCCTTGGGCTTTTGAGTATTTATTGCGGCGCCGTGTATGTAATTAAAGGCTCGTAGATCACAACGCGACGGGAGTCCCCGAGGTCTTGGCGAGTCACACATCTCAAGCAAGCTGCCGGGCCGCAGCAGCATCATGCACATGGGTGGTGGACAAGGCCTGTCTCGCGGCCATGGTCATGGGCGGCGCCATGGGCCTTGTCATGGGCGAGGTCATCATCATACACCGGCCAAACAGCAGCGCAAGGGTGTCGTCGCCGTCGTCGTGTCGGGACGAGGAGTCGGGCGAGGTGGTAGGGGCGCCTCGTATGTGTGCGTGTGTGTAGCTCGTCTACGCGGGTGGTTGTGGGCTGCACGTCTGGCTGCAAGTGAGGGTGCCGCATGGCATTTAGCGCGTTTGGCGGACCGTCGCCGTCGTCGCTGCATGGGGCGGACAGGGTTAAAAACGCCATCCCAGTAGAAGCGGCGAGAAGGTTGAGTTCGGGCACGCGGTGGGTAGTAATAGCGGCCGCTCCAACCTGAATCTCCTTTTTCGCTTCCACGCTCTTGGGTCCCGTCTCCTCCACGCGCTTCGAGAAGCCTTTCACTCCACAGCCTCCCTCACCTCTCCGACCTCTGCCACGACTGCTGCCTCGACCACAACCGCCGCCTCACACCCTCTCGCGGCCCAGAGCAATTCCTCCAACCCGCCCGCCTGCCCTGCCCATCGTCTCACTCTCCTGCAGCCGACGTTGCGGGCCGCTCTTGCCAGTATTTTGTGACACCTCACCCGCCCCAGAGCATTTTCCGCACCACCACCCACCACTCGCTCTCGCCCAAAGCCCTTGCACTCGCCCTCGCCCACAGCACACGCTGAGCAAGCCGGCCGCTGTGTTGCACTGCGAGAGCGCGCCGTGACAGCTCCCCGTTGCGCCCGCCATCCACCACCCACCCAGCTCGACCACGCAACCCAAAACATGTTCCCTCACCAGGGTGGCCAAGGCCAGCTTCCCGCCCACTGGCAACCGCCCACTGCCCAGCAGCCCGCGAATGGCTCGTATGCGCAGCCTCCGCATGTAAGTAGTAACAGTCTTAGTAGCAGTAGTAGTCGCAGTCTGTTGTCACGCGC